GAAAACAGAAAGGGTGTTTATGTCCAGGAAAAGAGAAAAAGAACAGGAAGGAAATCTCTTAAAATGCAAAACTATGTATATTCCCAAGTGGTGGATTATACACAATATTTTCTCTGTTTTTTTTGTACTTGCCCATATTTACCTTAATAAAATAATGAAATATAACCTACATACAAAAATGTGGCTCATACATATGTGCTTTCTATTTCAAAGTCAAAAAAAGACCAACAAATACAGTGTGACTGCCATCTACATCAATAAAATAGAACCTCATGGAAGTTTTTCACAGGCAACCCCCTTGACCACGACCCTCAATCTCCTCCCCAGATGTAACTCCTAATTCCTGATAATCAAGTCCTTGTTTGTCACGTTTCTTTGTTTCTGTTTTACTGCTCGGTTTGCATCCTGCGTTTGAGTATTGGCTGAATGGAATCATACTGTTTGGGTTCTCTCTCCCTCTCTCTCTCTCTCTCTCTCTCTCTCTCTCTCTTTCACACACACACACACACACACACACACACACATGCACATAGACACACACAAACACACTCTCTTGCTCTTTCTCTTCTCTTGTTTAACATTATGTTTTTGAGATTTCATCTATGTCACAGTATGGAGCTATGTATTTTATTGCTATAGCATATTCATTCCATTGAATATTCCACAGTATGTATTTCCATTTTACCATAGACGCACTCGGGGTTTTCATTTGGGCACTATGACAAATCATGTTGCCATGAACATTCTTAAACATTTATCTTGTTTACAATGTTCATGTGCCAGTTTTTCTGGAGTATATACATAAAGAAGTGCTGACCTCAGGCTGTGTTTGCCTTCAACTTTATTAGATAATGCCAAACTGTTTCCTAAAGCATTTCTACCAATTTATAGTCCCACCAGCAGTGTATGAGTCTTCCTGTGATCCACATTATTGTCAAAAGCTGATATTGTCATTTTTTTGGATTGGCGTTCTTTGAAAAGACTGCACATTAAATTTGTTGCCAATTTGGAGGGTTTGTAGTGGTATCCCACTGTGACTTTAATTTGCATTTCCCTTATTGCTAATGAGGTTAATGACTGTTTAGTATGTTTATATTTCAAAACAAAAACAGAAAGTGAAATTTAAGTAAATATACCATTTACAACACCCGCAAAAATTTATCATACTTTTCCCTTTTTCCTGGAAGTTCATGGCACTTAGAATACTTTAATTCTACTTACCTACTTCTCGATTTATATTCACGATGGTTAAATACTCTGGTTTGCCCAGCAACATCCCGGTTTACGCCTGTTGTCCCTGTGTAATTATTAATATCTCCGCCTTTCACTCTCAACCATTTCTGGGTTGTATACAAAATAATACAGTCATCCTACTTGCATGTCTTTGTTTTGTATATTTTTATTTTCTTGTTTCTGTCTGTCTCTGTCTTTTTTAAAAATTTCTTTCTTTATTTTTTTGACAGAGAGAGAGGGGGCAGAAAAGAGAGAGGATCCTAAGCAGGCTTCACACTGTCAGCTCACAGCCTGACATGGGGCTCGAACTCATGAATTGTGAGATCATGACCTGAGCCAAAATCAAGAGTCAGACCCTGAACCGTCTGAGCCACCCGGGTGCCCCTGTCTCTCTCTCTCTCTCTCTATATATATATATTTGTGTGCGTGTGTGTGTATGTGTGTGTACATGCATACTGGATATTTGGTGTCCTCCTCAAATTCACATATGGAAGTCTTAACTCCCCAGTATAATGGTATTAGGAGATGGCACCTTTAGGAAGTAATTAGGTTTAGATGAGGTCATAAGGATGGAGCCCCCATGATATGATTATTACCCTTTTAAGAAGAAGAGGCCCCAGAGCTTCTCCCCTGCCATGTGAGCACATAGCAAGAAGGAGGCCATCCTCAAACCAGGAAGAGGGCCCAGACTCCACCAGAACCCAATCATGCTGGCATCCTGATCTCAGGCTTCCAGCCTCCAGAACTGTGAGAAATAAATTTTTGCAATTTAAGCCCCCTCACCCCCAGTCTGTGGTATTTTATTATGGCAGCCCAAGCTAAGTAGCACAGATGTATGTGTCCCATACGACATTGTAATACTGTTACATGCAGCCAATATTCATTTAGATTTACCCATGTATTAACCATTTCATTAGCCTGTAATCTTTTTTGTGTCTCTGATCTTCCTTCTGGAATCTTTTTTTTTTTTTAAACTATTCTCTTTGCCCAATGTAGGGCTTGAAGTCATGACTCTGAGATCAAGAGTGGCAGGCTCTACCAACTGACCCAGCCAGGTGCCCCTGGGATCATTTTTCTTTTGTCTGGAGACCTCACTTTAGTATTCATTTTAGTGCAGGTCTTACAGAAACTCATTCTTTCAGTTTTTGTTTGTCTTCAATCTTGAAGAATATTTTTAACGGGCATAGAATTTTAGGTTGGCTGTTACTTTATTTCAGCATAGTGAAAAAATCTCCCTTCCGGGTTTTCATTTGTTTGTTTGTTGAAAATTCACCTATGAATCTAGCCATTACTCCTTTGAAATGGTCTATTTCCTTTTCTTTGCTACTTTTCAGATTTCCTTTGTCTTTGGTTTTCTGAAGTTTTGCTATGATGTGACTGCTTTGAATTTCTTTTATCTCACTTAAGATTCACTGATATTTTAGAATCTGTGGGTTGTTATCTTTCAACAGGTCTGAAAGATTTTCAGCCAATTTTTTTTTTGAGAGAGAGAGGGTGTAAGTGTAGGAGGGGCAGAGAGAGAGAGGAGGAGAGAGAGAGAGGAGAGAGAGAGAGAGAGAGAGAGAGAGAGAGAGAGAAAATGCTATGAGGGGCAGAAAGAGAGAGAGAGAGAGGGAGGGAAAGAGAGCAAGAAGTGGGGCTCACCGGAAGCAGGGCTTGTGTTTTGCTGAAGCAGGGCACGAGCTCACCTGATGAGGGACTTGAATTCATGAACTGTAAGAGCCGAAGTCAGATGCTTAACTGACTGAGCCACCCCAGGCGTCCCAGACAACATCTCTTTATGTATGTATGTATTCATTCATTCATTCATTAACGTTTATTTATTTTTGAGACAGATAGAGAGAGAAAGGGAGGGAGAACATGAGCGGGGGAGGGGCAGAGAGAGAGGGAGACACAGAATCCCAAGCAGGCTCCAGGCTCCGAGCTGTCAGCACATAGTCCGACGTGGGGCTCGAACTCACGGACTGTGAGATCGTGACCTGAGCCAAAGTCGGATGCTTAACCGACTGAGCCACCCAGGGGCCCCTTTTTTGTCCCTTCAAAAAAAAAGTTTATTTATTTATTTTGAGAGGGAGAGAGAGAGAGAGAGAGAGAGAGAGAGAAAGCACGAGCACGAAAGCAGGGGAGAGGCAAAGAGAGATGGAGAGAGAAAGAATCCCAAGCAGGCTCCAGACTGTCAGTGAGGAGCCCAACGCAGGGCTAGATGTCGGACCAGATGCAGGCTTCGAACTCACGAACCATGAGATCACAACCTGAGCTGAAACCAAAAGTCAGAAGCTCAATGGACTGAGCCACCCAGGCGCCCCTCTCTTTTCCCTGCTATTCTTTCTGAGTCCAGGCAAGCATTCCTGCAGAGGTAAAAGCAGTGGCAGGTTGACTTCTGGTTCACTTTTGTCCCAGTTCAGTGTGGTCAAGGTCTCCTATTGGACTCCTCTACTTTGGCTTTCAAAACCAAAGCCTGATTCTGCAACTTAGTGTTTTACAGAATGCTTTTTTTCTTAGGGCAAAAGCAGCAAAAAGTGCCCTGTTTACCTCCCTGTCTACTTGATTTCTCTTAAATTTTCACCTGATTCTTAAAATCCTGTCGGCTTTTCGATGTTTTTATGAAGTTTGTCTGTTTGTTTTCATGAAGTTTTAAAAACAATATTTTATTCAGGCTTTGTAGTTGTTTTCATAAGGAGAATTGGTCCAAATATCATGGCCTATCACTGCAGAAATTAGAATTCCTCTTTTCTTTATTTTCCAAAGTTACTCAGGGAAGGTAAAAAATTATCTTCTAAATTTAGAAACAAATGTTATTTTTTAAAATCATTTTATTTCAATTCCAGTATAATGTACAACATTATTAGTTTCAGTTTCAAGTGTGCTTTTAATTTTTTAAAATTTATGTTGTTTTAATTCCAGTATAGTTAACATACAGCATTGAAACAAATGTCATTAAAAGATTTTTAAAATTGAGATATAATATACATAAAGTGCACAAATCTTAAGTGTACAGCTCGATAAATTTTTACTTATGTCTACACCTGTGTTACCACGACCCAGATCAATACACAGGATGTTTCTAGCACCTCTAAAGTCCCTCTTGTGTTCCCAGTCAGTATCCCATCTCCCAAGGTTAACTGCTGGAACTATAGATTAGTTTTGCCTTAAAAAAAAATTAGAAAGAAAAAACCCCAGATATCTCTGATAACCTCCTAGTCACCTAAATACGGTGGAGTTTCTAGGACTTTGATTGGTGGACACGTCATACTTGCAATTTCAAGTTTATCTTGTTTCTTGCCCAGCGTCTCTTTTTCCCATCCTCTAAGTTTAGATTAATACCAATGTCCCAGATACATATTTTTTAATGTTTATTAATTTTATTTTCAGAGAGAGCACGAGCAAAGGAGAGGCATAGAGAGAAGGAGAGAAAGAGAATCCCAAGCCGGCTCCACGCTGTCAGCACAGAGCCCAACCATGGCTGGAACCCACCAACCATGAGATCATGACCTGAGCTGAAATCAAGAGTCAGACACTTAACCTCTTAACCAACTGAGCCACACAGGCGCCCCACCAATGTCCCGGTTATTAATTTATTGACTCCGGGCTTCAAACCCACCCTTCTTTTTCCCACTTTGTAAAATTGGAGCCCGTCTCTACAAACCACAGTTCCTCCTTTGGCAGCGGGTTCGATGTTAGGCTCTGCCAATAGGGGGCGCTGGAGGACTTTTCTGCTTCCTGTTTGCTCATTCGTTTCATCTTCCCATTGCTGTGATTGGCTTGACTGGCTCGGTGAGCTATGGGTCCCTTCGGTGTTCTCTGTGGGGTGGGCTCCTCTTGACAGTTCTGCGGAGCTGCCTCCAGTGGGTTTCTTTCTCAGTCTTGCGGTGGATAATGAGTTCCTGCAGCAGTGGCCCCATCTATCCAGAGGTCTGAATCTCAGCTTTGCCGGGGCGGGAGTTGGGAGGCTCCTCGAATTTTCCAAGGTACTTCTTTGTTCACTTTTTCCTTCAGCCCTGCAAGTGGTAGCCCCTTTCCTCAGTAGTTATTTCTGTTACGACTTTGAGGTCTCTACATTTCAGTAGTTAACCACCCTTCGCTTGGTTAACAACCCTTTATATTCAGTTTTCACTGTTAGGATCACTGGTGTGGTTCCTGTTTCCTGCCTGCACCCGGATTCTGCTTTTGATCTAATCCTCGCTTTCTGTACACCTCTCCCTTATAAATCTCCCCCCAAATCCATGACTTTGAAATTTATATCTCCATTTGTACCTTTCTCTAAGATTCCAGCTTAGCATGATCAGTTGTAAGCTGGCTCTGATTTTCCTCCACTACCTCCTCCAGCTGTCATACTGCGATTTATAATAAGAGATATATATTTGGTCTTCCACCAGTTCCTGGCACAGAGCTCCTAAAGCCCTTGGAATTTCCTGTGATAAGAGCCACAAAGGTGTCTTTAGTTATGTTAATGAGCGGCTTTTGGAAAGCCCTTAGGTAACTGAAATGGGGGCTGGTTGCTAGGGGAACCAACCTATGATTAGAGAGTTGGAACTTGGGATACCCACCCCCCCCCCCCCCCCCCACAAACCTCCGGGGGGGGGAGAAGGGTTGGAAGTTGCATCCACGGCCGGTGACTGAATCAATCATGCCTGTATAATGAATCCTCCATAAAAACCCGAAGGGACTGGGTTCAGAGAGCTTCCCGTTTGGTGAGGAAGTGCGGGAACAGTGGTGCCCTGGAGAGGGCAGGGAAGCCCTGTGTTTCCCCATGCCTGGCCTTGTGTATCTATTCCATCGGGCTGTTCCCGAGTTACGTCCTTTTGTAATACACTGACAACCTAGTAAGTAAAATGTTTCCGGAGTTCGCCAGCCGCTCTAGCAAATTAACTGAACCCAGGAGGGGGTCCTGGGAACCTTTGATTTATAGCCAGTCGATCAGAAATGCAGGTGACAACCTGGACTTGCATTTGGCATCCCGAATGGAAGGTGGTCGTTGGGACCTCCGGTTTGTGGCCGGTCGGTCCGAGGCACAGGTGATAATCTGGATTTGTGAGTGGCATCTGAAGTGTGGGGAATGGGCAGTCTTGTAGGACTGAACCCTTAACCTGTGGAATCAATGCTGTGTCCAGGTAGGTCGTGTCAGAATCGAGTTAAACTGTAGGATACCCAGCTGGTTGGTGTGGGGGGAATCTACCCACACACATTGAAATTGGTGACCAGAACCCTAATTACCCGAATTCCTTATTTCTGTCAAACACAGTGCCATCGCCCTGGACTGCAAGTCTCAAAGTCATCTATGAATAGTGAAACCAAAAAAGAGGTAAGTATTGGTTATGACAGCCTATCTTTTAATTTTGTATCTTCTAAATCTCGTGTAATTTTCCCCCCCCCCCCCCCCCGCCCCATCCCTTCCCATTAGGACTGCTTTAATTTGGCTACTCATTACGGGCCTCCAGTTTATAAACTGTACACCTGTTCCATAAACTGTCCGCCCGTTCCATAAATTGTACACATATTCCATAAACTGAAGAAGAGCAGCTCTGATCATGTCATTCTGAAAAACCTGTAGTGACTCCCCATTTTCTAGTGAGCAATATCCAGGCTCCATTGATTGTCATTCAAGGTCCTCTAGGAAACGGAATCAGCCTGTTTAACCAACACACTCTGCTCTCTGTGCTTTGCTCCAGCCAAGTGGACTGATTTGCTCTTATGCACCTCACCAATTTCTTCACTTTTGTGCTCTTGCCTAAAAAAGCCCTTTGGAGCTTCCGCATGAAGTCTTCCCAAGTGCATCCTTTTGTCTAGAAAGAAATCCCTCTCTTCATTTGCTTAGCTCTCTGTGCACTCTTGACCCACACTTGTTCTAGCATCTACAGTCGTATCCAAGTTTTCATGGGGGCAGGGGCAGTAATATACCTGGCTGGTCGCGAGGTGGGGCCTGGAACTGACTCCTCCCTAGCTTGGGTGAGCTGGAACAACAAGGAGGGTGGACATATGAAGGGGTTTAAGGTCCAAGAACAATTATGGTGAGTCTAATAGAAACAGGGAATAGGGGACCCAGGACGATGTAGTCGGCATCCTCAACAAGTCACAGTAATTTGAAAGTGCGCATATGTAGCGTCAGCGAGCATATTCAAGAAGAACTTACAAGGCTCAATCTATTAGCTGCAGTTTGGGGACAGTTCCCTGGTTCAAGGACCCCAAACCAAAGAAAAGACATTTTCTTTCACATACTGTGAAAGTTACTAGAACAAGAAACGAAGGGCAGTGGCCAAGGTAGAATTCATTGATAAGCCCTGGATCGGGACTTGATCTCACAAACCAAGAGTTGGACGCTTAACAGGCTGAGCCACCCAGGCGCCTCTGTTTTTAACTTTTAAAAAGGGTATCAAGGTGCACCTGGATGGCTCAGTCGATTAAGCGTCAGACTTCGGCTGAGGTCATGATCTCACAGTTTTTGTGTTCGAGTCCTACGTTGGGGTCTGTGCTGACAGCTCAGGGCCTGGAGCCTGCTTCGGATTCCTTGTCTCCCTCTCTCTGCCCCTCCCCCACTCACCCTCTGTCTGTCTGTCTCTCTCTCTCTCTCTTTCAAAAATAAACATTAAAAAAATTGTAAATAAGTAAATACATAAATAAAAAGGGTATCAAGTTATAGGGAATATTTGCAGCCTTGATCTACTTAGTATTATATTGCTAAGCTTTGTCCTTATTGGTATGTGTTGTTGTAGTTTATTTATTTTGATGGTGTATAATAATCCATTGTATGAATATACTACAGTTGATCAAATCTACTCTTCTGTCAATGAATATTTAGGTTGTTTTCAGATTTTTGATATTGTGAACAATGCTACTATGGCCATACATGTACATGTCTCCTAAGATACTTGTATAAGAGTTTCTCTGGGATGGATTTAGGAGTAGAATTACTGGATCATAGAGCATGTGACTGTTCAACTTCATGATATAAGGTCAAACTATTTTCTAAGATGATTATATCAATACACTCTCCTAACAGCAATATATAAGAGATTCTCTTGATGTATATCCTTTCCCACACTTGGTAACCAGACTTTAAAATTTTTGCCAACTAATAGGTGTGAAATAGCATCTCATTGTGGTCTTGTGATTTGAATTTCCTTAATCATTATTGGTGTTTAACATCTATTAACATGTCAGTTGATCATACGTGTTTTCTGTGAAGTGTCCATTTATGCCTGTCTTAGTGCCCCAAGGCTTCTATAACAGAATACCATAGACTGGATGGCTTATAAACAACAGAAATTTATTTCTCATGGTTCTGGGGTCTGAGAAGTCCAAGATCAAGGTGATGGCAGATTTAGTGTCTGGTGAGAACTTGCTTCCTGTTTCCTTTTTTTCCTCCCCCAGTGTTTATTTATTTATTTTGTGTGTGTGTGTGTGTGTGTGTGTGTGAGAGAGAGAGAGAGCGCGCGCACGCACACGCAAGTGTAAGTGAGCCGGGGAGGGGCAGAGAAAGAGAGGGAGGGAGAGAATCCCAAGTAGGCCCCATGCTGTCAGTGCAGAGCCTGAA